AAAAAAAAAAAAAAATCTATGCAAAGGCGGGTAACCCCTTCGGGTCTCCTCCCATTGTGGGAGCTTTTCTGTCCTCTCAATAAATTCTGCTTTAAATTTTAAAAAAATCTATGCAAAGGCAGAGTCCTCACACTCCAGGGCCCCCCTGGCAAGCGCCATAGGTGACTGGAGCACATAGATCACCTGCCTGGTGGTGTACTCACCTGTACAGTGGGTGCAGGTGAAACAGTGGCGGTGCTTGGCAAACCGCTGGCATCAGAATCTCCTGATGGTGCTCTGTCCATGGGCAGACTCCTGGGGAGCGCTGCTTCAGGAGTCGAGTGGAGTCAAAAGCTGAGTTTGTTTTGTTTTGTTTTTTTGAGTTGGGAGTCTCACTCGGTCGCCCAGACTGGAGTGCAGTGGCCGCTCCTGGCCGCCGCAGCCTCAACCTGCTAGGCTCTGGCGTTCCTTCCACCTCAGCCTTCCAAGTAGCCGGAACTACAGGGCACGCTACCACACCTGCCTAATTTTTTTATCTATTGTAGAGATGAGGTCTCACCAAGTTGCCCAGGCGGGTCTCGAACCCTCAGGCTCAGGCAATACACTCGCCTCGGCCGCCCAAAGCGCTAGGATTACAGGCTGAGCCACCAAGCCCAGCCAAAAGTTGAGTTTTAACAGAGCCCAGGTGGTGCTGATGGTGTGGTAATAGGCTGGCAAAGCTTCCTGGGAGGTGGAGCAGCCAGTCTAGGGCTAGACCCTGGCATTAGGCCTGGAGAAAAAGCACAGGGGATGCGTGGGTTCTGTGGATTCCAGGAAAGCTTCCCCCACCCCCAAACCAGTGTTACCCACTCGGCCTTCAGAAACATGCTCTTGTCAACTTGTTGAGAAGATGAAATAAAGCCACAGTGAAGCTCTGTGTTTTTTGGGTTTTGTTTTTTTTTTTTGAGTTGGGAGTCTCACTCTGTCGCCCAGGCTGGAGTGCCATGGCACACTCACGGCCACCCCAGCATTGACCTGCTGGGCTCCGGCGATCCTTCCACCTCAGCCTTCCAAGTAGTCAGAACTACAGAGGCACACTACCATGCCCCGTCTGGTCTCGAACCCGTGGGTTCAGGCAATCCACTCGCCTCAGCCTCCCAAAGTGCGGGGATGACGGGCTGAGCCACCGAGCCGGCCGCTCTGTCTGTTGTTTATCTGCCTTGGAAGTTGCCATTTACAGACCTGGAGAGGTTACTATGTTTACTTTCACTGGGTCGTGTATTAAGACAGATACTTTCAAGGAAAGAATTAAAAGGTCACTCTGCACACTGTGACCAAGGGCAAGTGACCACTCTGAACCTCCGTCTCCTCGTCTTCAAAATGGGGTTGGAAGAGGAGTAGTCTGACGTGTTCTGGGAGGAGGGGAGGCTCCGGGCCACCTGGCCCCTCCCAAAATAGAAACTCCCTCCGGCGGTTGCGGAGAGAGGATGCCAGCTTGTCTGGCTTTTGATTGATGGGGGGGTGTTTTCTTGACTGGCAAATATTTGTGCTCCGAAGCTGGCGAGGCTTCACGTCCTGGTTTGTGCAGTCTATAAAAGAGCAAAGGAAGAGAGCTGGTGAGAAAGCAGGGGCTGGGAGAGGCTGCCGGGGGACAAGCAGGAAGCTGCCAGTGCCCCGTGCCCACGTTGCAGATTCCCAGTGTCCTCATCTGTAAAATGCTTCTCGGGCTTCACTGGGCTTCTGGAAGAATGAGAAGGGCTACTGTGCAGTTTGCAGACGACAGAACAGCGGTGTCGTGACGCCTCAATGAGTATGCCTCGCAATCCCTTGGGGGCATAAGTATATGTCTTTGCTTCATGGGAGCACTACCCACAATAGCCAAAATGTCCGTCAATGGACACATGGGCAAATGAAAGATTGCATGTCCATACAGTGGAATATTGACACTCTGGCACAGACAACATAGATGAACCCCAAAATCACTATGCAAAATGAAATCAGCCAGACCCAAAAGTCCAACGGGTGTGGTGGCTCACGCCTGTCATCCTAGCACTTTGGGAGGCTGAGGCCAGAGGATTGCTTGAGCCCAGGAATTTGAGAGCAGCCCAGGAAACATAGGGAAACCTCGTTTCCACAAAAATTTTTTTTTAAATGAGCCCGGTATGGTGGCATGTGCCTGCAGTTCCAGCTACCGGGAGGGCTGAAGTACAAGGATCACATGAGCCCAGGAGGTCAAGGCTGCGGTAGGCTGTAATCCTGCCACTACCCAACTCAATTAAAAAAAAAAAAATCCAGCCGGGCTCGGTAGCTCAGCCTGTAATCCCGCGCTTCGGGAGGCTGAGGTGAGTGGATGGCCTGAGCCTGCGGGTTCGAGACCCACCTGGGTAACTTGGCGAGACCTCATCTCTACAATAAAATAAAAAAATCAGCATGGCAGCGCGCGCCTGTAGTTCCAGCTACTTGGAAGGCTGAGGCGGAAGGATC